TGCAGGTTGATTGATCGGTGCCTTTTATTTGTCTTTTTTTAAGTTTTTTTTTTTTTTAATTTTGGAACAGTAGTCGATGCCGTTCGGTACTTTGTGAATTGATGAATATCTGTATTTAAGGGGGGAGGGGGGGACGGGGGGGTTGTGGAAAGGAAAGTCTACCATTAAAAAAAAAAATAAAAAATGGAGAAAGACGGCCATTTGATTTCTCAGTGCATACTTACACTAGGATTTTCCTGGATGGATCTGACCGGAATTAGAGCCTGACCTGGATGTATTTGACCGCAGTTAAGTCCACATCCAGAGCTCAGCCGAACAGGTTCCCAGTGTGAGTTATGCCCCTCCGTCTGGCCAAGTGGTGGTTGTGGTGTAGACGATTGTGAGCCCCACTGTGGTGTGTAGGAATCTGATCAGCGGCCCCCCTCTTCCCCCCCCACACCCCCCTGCCAATACCCCCGCTACCCCCCTCAGAAAAAAGAAAAGAATTTGAATCAGTGCCCCACATTTCGCCCTCCTCCTCGAATACAAAGCACTTGCCACTTGAAACACATTGCCTTTTACTAAGTTTTTAGAGTTTTTATAAATTGCCGTGCCGTCCTGTCCAGATTGGACAGGTAATTGAATTGGTTGGGCTTAAAGAGTTAGCCTTTAAATAATAATAATAATAATAATAATAATAATAATAATAATAATAATAATAATAATAATAAATTGTTAGATATGCATGAGTATCAATGTATCATCAATTTATTATTATTTTGTTAACTTAAATTATTACAGGATAATGACCACTTACGGAATGGAAGCATGTTTTTCAAGGCGATAATGGGCTTCACTCCACCACACAACACTCTAGTACGTGCATTTGGACGCCTTCTGGACCAGGTGCATCTCGAGGAGTTCGGCAATTTGAATGTATCGGGTCCAGTAAGTGTCCAAATGCATGTAGAGTTTTATGTAGTGGAGCGAGGCCCAATTGCACTGGTTTTATTATGTTCATGTGAATGACGCTGACTGGGTGAGTCCTTTGGGTCCATAACTGCATTTTTTTGGCCTCTTCAATAGTGCAATTACCCGCTTCACTATGCCTCTTTGTTGTTTCAAGGCCGCCCCCCCGCTGGCCAAAGACAATGGCCTATCAGCCCTGTGCCCGACTGGGGTAAGAAACCGGAGCCCTGAGACGTGGCGTGGCTCAGCGGGCCTGCACCTGACCGTTGACCGAAAGTCAACTGTACGAGGCCCACAGGTCAAAGTCTGCATGGACCCAGCCTAGGCCGCCGGTCAGACACACACGCTTGTTTGTACGCAGGTATCCAGACAGCATACGGTCCAAGTGGAAGTCTGCAACTGTAAAAGGTCCAGGCCGACGGCTGCGAGTGGATCTGAGCTTCTGTGGGCGAGGGACCAGAGGCAGGCCTACCTCGTCAACGCTACTTGTTGACCCTGCCTCGGGGAGTCGACATTCAGTCTTGCCGTGCTGACTTGACGCTGGCTCGACGGGGGTGCAAGCTGGCTGGAGGCTGGGACTGTGCGACGACGACGCGAGACCTCTGCGTTGCGTGCTGGCGCCTTCCTGCTCTGGCGCCAGCTGGCTTATTGCTTGCTGACGTGGGGCATGCCACGATGTCTTCGACATTGCTGATGTGGCGTATGCCGCCCTGTCTACATTGCTGGCGTGGCATTGCCACACTGTCGAGACTTACCTGTTGCGGATGCTGACTGTGTGCGCTGTTGTGACGTATTCATGGGAGAACGGTGCCACGTGGCACTCTGATGTGATCAGACCTTGTTAGGCTCATTTCTTGGACACTGTTGCTGACGTGGAGGATAGGGGGGGCCCGAAGAAGGAGAGGGGAACGAGGGGCTTCGATCTATGTGGTCGTTGATGGACACCTACTCTTCCGGCTAACGTCTATTCTCCCCCCTCCTCTCCTTCATCTATTGGTTACGAGACTTTGTATCACAGATCACACTTACGATTGTTGGAGACATTGATCAGCGGATTCAGCGCCGAGTTATCGTGTACTTCGACACTCGAGGAGTTTCCTTCAGACTGGGTTCATTACAAAAGCATCGTTCAGAATCTTTCCTTCTTTTTTTTTTTTTTTCTTTTTTTTTTTAATCTAACGACCTTGATGTAACATCATCATCAACCGGCTTTTCGAAATACCACTGGGGGCCGCCATCAGGCCCCTGAATCTTTAGGAGGCGGAAACGAAACGACGGCCGCTGATGAGATTTATAAACGACGGCCGTCGTCGGGCCCGACCTCTGTTTTTTTGGCAGGATATTTTCCCGTTTTCCCAACGACGGGAGAGGTAGTGGTGGTTAACTCACCGTTTCCTACCGTCTTCCCCTGAACATATCGCATCCTCATTTTGTGGGCTGTCTCAGACCGGAAATATAGCTTCTATACATTCATTATCAGGGTGCGTTATGTTCGGGGAAAGACGGTGGTCCGTTTGTTTTGTTTATTTTCTTCCAATCATGTCACTGATATCCGAGTTCTTTGTTTCTGGCTTACTGGTACACACCCATGAACCGTTGAAAATTGAGACACACACCCGAGTTTGAACCCAGATGATGGTACATGATGACTAAAACCAAGGGGGGAAAAAAAAAAAAACAAAAAAAAAAACAGACTGGATGGTGGATGTAGATGGGAGGTGCAGCCTTGCAGCTACTGTCAAGGTTGGTCTTTGCGTTAGCCGCCCCCACCCCACCCGGCGACCCCACTCTACTCCCTGACCACCACTGATTAGGGCGGGGGGCAACATGCATCCCCTTAATTGTGAGAGGTAGCTATGCTTGCAGGGGTCCCATGTAAGGCGTAGGAGTAGTGGTAGGTAGATAGTGAAAGGTGAAATTGAGAGAAGAATATAGCTTAGTTAAAAAAAAAAAAAAAAAAAAAGCTAGAAACAGCTGAACAGCACGAACCTACCTGACTGGGAATCGTACCCAGTAGTCACTGCAGAATACAAACAAACCTCCTAAAACTTAATGCGAGGAATGAGCCCCTTGCAAGGCCGATAGGTCACAGCAGCCGACACCTATGGGCCCCCATGCAAGCCTGATGGGCCCGCCCTAATTGAAGGTGAGGGCCTGCATTGTTCACCTGAGGCCTATTTTTGCCATTCCTGGTCTTGAGAGCGCCAGACAGTTACAGGGCGTCAGTTGGTTGCGGGGCCCCAGCATGCTGTGTGATCAAGGACTCGTGAGCCTTCCAGGCTCTTCCAGGCAGCAAAGTGGAGACTGGCCTCTCGGCCAATCAGGATGCAGCGAGTGATGTGAGCCACGTCGCACAGCCGGGGTTGCGTACTTGCTGCGGGCCCGGGCAGCTTTCCGGATTGGCCCTGGGTGCAGACACTTTGGCCCGATGTCAAGTGACTGGGAACTCGCATGCCAGGACCAGGGCAGCAAGCGCAGAGCAGCACTTTCAGTTCAGGAAAGTGCCCAGCACCTAGCCAGGTGTTCTGGATCCACATTACCTGATATAGTTATATTCTTACACTGGCCTCCTTTTTGCAGGTCCTTCCAATAATGGCAATAGTTTGCCTCTTCGAGGAAGCCGACCTAGTCTACAACTATCTTACATAACTTCTCGTCATGCCCTCTTCCTTGGTTCGGGGATACAGTTGGCTTCGATGGGGATCGGGAAGTGCTCGTGCGAAGTTGTTCAGGATCTACGCGGGAGTGGGACCGTGATCGAGACAGGGCAGGAGTTCGTCCATAGTGGCCTTTAGTGCCAATACTCTTCCATTTCCGGTCGGCTATTTTGCGGATTAAATGCTTTGTACGTTGGACCAAGTTTTTATCATCAAATCGGTTCTTTAAGGCCTTGAAGAAATCCTCAATGCGGGTCTACTGGGAGTACTCTACCATCGACGAGCAGCCCACCTCTTTTTCTAAGGAGATAGAGAAGTTTGCAGCATCCCCTCCAAGGCACGAACTTGCCATCAAGACATGGGGTATGAAATAAGTTGTGCGTAAAGGTATGTGTCTATGTGCACCTCTCACTGATAGAAATTCTCCTCCTTCTTCCAGTTATAAGTCCAGGGGATCTTCACTTTCATCTTCTCTCTTCGTTCTCCCCCTTCAGGTTGTCTTTCTCTTCCCTTTCAATCTCCTTCCTTTTTCGGGCCTTGGCCTCCTTTCCCATCATCGCCACCGTCATCTCCACCATCTTCACCTCCACTACCGCCACCTATCTTTGCTGTTGCGATGGTGGCCGTGAGCTTTTGGGTGACGAGATTGTCTAATTGATGGGCATAGTCGACAATCCTGTGATCCATTCGACAAGAGGAGGAGGAGAGGTAATTGTTCCAGACTCCCTCGAACTCGTCTTGGTGGCGTTCAATTTTCCCTACCGTTCTTTGCAGGGTGGTTCGTTCCTGGGCGGTCTGCAGCAAGGCATCGGTCATGAGAGACAGGGTTGCCTTAACTTCGGCCTCCTTACCTCACTGTTCCCTCTGCCTTTGTTGACGCCTCTCTCCTCCCTCCTTCATCCTTTTCTTTTCGTCGAATTCCCTCCTTTTCTGGGTTAGCAGTCGTTGATGAAGGGAACTTTCTCTTTCTACAGCAGGTCCCGGTCTTCCTTGTCAGCGACTGCCTCCAATCTCGTTGCAAATTCCCTTCTCCCCTCCTCTGTCTCATCCAGCATCTTGGTATGGAATCCGAACTTCGCCACGCAATCCTCGTCATCTGTCTGGACGAGTCTCAATTGCCCGGCCTGGCTACTCTCTGCATCGTCAGGCCTTTCCTCTCCAACTCCTCTCCTCCTTTCCAACCGTTCCTCTTCTTCCTCCTGTTCTTCTTCCTCTTCGTCGATGGTCTTTGCTTCTTCTTCCATGTTCTTCTTCATCTCCTCCTTCAGCTGTTTCATCTCTTCCTCTTTCTTTCTCTTCTCTTCCTCCAGTTTCTTTCTTAATTTCTCCACCTTCTTCTTCTTTTCTCCTCCTTCTCCCGACTTTTCTCCTCCAGCCTCTTGACGATCTCCGCCTATTGTTCAGCAGTATGAGGCTGAGTTGTTCTTCCGGATTTTGTTGTGGTGCACATCTTAGCGGTCCGAAAGAACGCAAGAGGGAAGAAGAAGCGGAGTAGGGGCCCCTATATCATGGACAGGGTCAAGAAATTGAACATGGGTTAGTCGTCCATGGCGAGGGTCAGCATAGGTAAGTTGACTCCGCCTCCTCACCACTTAAACCTACACCTCAATACTTAACGGTCCTCGCCACTTACACTAGCCTTAACCTAAATCAGGGTCTGATAATCTAATTCCCTTCCCACTTCTATCACTATAGCTCTCCTAAAAACTGGTGGGCAACCAACAATTTAAGGTCAGCCAGCACAGACCTCAGGAATTCTTCAACGACGCAAGAAGGAAGTTGTGCCCAGTAGTCTGAAGGATTGGTCTCAATACTTAAGCATGTTCCTTGCTGTGCGCCACAGGGTTCGAGTATAACTACCACTAGATGGGCTGCCAGCCGGTCAGTACCTGTCCTTGGGGGATCTCCCTGTCTTCCTTCTCTGGTGGACCTTACATCTCACCCTAGTTTGCCTACGCGCTAACCAGTTGTCGAATCTCTACTGACCTCTAGAACTCCTCATTGTCTTGTCAGCTTTCAGTCGCACGCCGGTCAGTACCAATCTTAGGGCTAGACAAGTTGTTTTACGAGCGCCTGCCGCTCTTGCCCATGCTTCTTGCTTTGCCTAAAGATACGTCCAACTGGCGAGTTCCTACCCGAGACCGACCTACTGCACACACGAAACTTTCTCTCTCACAAGGTTAGGGTTGCACCGGGTACCTACGCCCCCAGGTAGGGCGGCAACCCTACCACTTCCCCTTGAGGGGGAGGAGCCTTTCCTCCGGGAGAGATCGGTCTCGGACTCACCAAACAGCAGGCATATCAAATTGACAATTATAGGTGTGACTGCTGACTCAAATGACGAGATGATGTCAACAAGAATTGACTTGCAGCAGAGGTCCCCAGGAAGATTCGTGGGAATCAACCATTCACAACAAAAAGCAATTGCAGAATAGACAAGGCCAGAGCAAGAAGCACTTCACTAATCTTCAACGCTCCATCGATGAAGCTCCACAATCGCAGGTACGGTCCTCAACTTCTGCCCCTTCTACTTCGGCCCTCAACTCAACTCGCGATCAAACCCTAATATTGCTATTATATTTTTACCGCCTGCCGGCCTTCTTCCTTGCCAGCACCTCAACTCCGAGTGGATGCAGCGGGAACCAGCTCTTATACCACTGAAACGGTACAAGTCCTTATCAGCGTCCCACCTTGCAAACATGCCATGAACATTCGCATGGGAGTTCACACGTGAGAAACCAAAGCCGAGATACAATCAACACATGTGGGAGCCATCATCAAATTATTATCATTATACAAGAAATGTTTACGTCTCCAGCGACTCTGCCACATACACACACAGAACTGATCTCAACCAGATGGCGGCTATGGCTTCTCCCTCTCTCTCTACAGTCCTGCTCTCTCTCTCTCTCTCTCTCTCTCTCTCTCTCTCTCTCTCTCTCTCTCTCTCTCTCTCTCTCTCTCTCTCTCTTTGTGTCTAGTTCGTAGCCCTGGATACACCCACTCAGGTAAGCTTCACACCTGGCGGCTATGGCTGCCCTACCTCCTTCCTCCCTCTACCCTAGCTATGGAGTAACTGTCCAGCGCCACTTCTTCCTTCCGGTCCGGAGTGCCCAAGTTGCCTTAACGCACAAGCAGCAGCAGCGCTTCCGCATCTTGCAATTGAACAAGTGATGAGCCGCTCAATTGTAGCAGCCAAATATAGGACTTGACTTGGCTTTGCCTGCTTCAGACCGGTACGGGTAGGCCGCGGCCTGTCTGCTGCAAACGTTTTGTTGGTCCGGTAGACTTTCCTGGGACTTGCTGCAAAATTCTTGACTTGGGCCTGTTGTACTATATTGGACTTTTCTTGTCGGGCACCGGGTGGACTCCTACCGACCTACGACGCTTCCGTACTGACACGTACTCTGGACCCTACAGCCTACCCTACTGGGGCAGCCTGGAATTGGGACTCGTCGGGACCATGGGACTGGGACTGGGTGTCTGCAGCGCGAATCCTTTCATCAGTGGGTGCGAGACCCGCATGTACTGGTTCTTTTGTGCCCATTTGAGCACTCCTTTTGTTCGACTCGCGCATGGACACAGGCGGGTGTCGACCACCGGCTGTACAGCTTGAAATAAGCAAAAATAGCACACAATAGCGGTAATGTTCTTTTGCCGTTTTACAACTCAGGCCCTCCACAGACTATGGCCTGCCCTTGTGGTTATGACATCCACACTTGTTAGCAACTCCCGCTCTACTTTTCTGCTTTGTGCCCATTTACGTTTGCCACGCAGTTGGCTCCAAAAAGGGGTCCCTGCGCTCAAGTCACGACCGAGTTTCGAAATGGGCAAAAAAAACATGTATCGGCAGGTCAGTCGCCCACCGAGTTCGAAAAGGCAATAAAAGAGGCGTGACACTTTGTAATAAGTATGGATGTCATAACCACAGGGCCCTGGACCCATTAGCGAAGTATTCTACCACTTCGTTCAGGATTTCGATCACGTGTGGCCTCGAGTGACACAGTAAGGCCGTCGAATAGATCGGATCGTGACGGCCTGGTAGTTTCCGAGCGGGGACTGCAAAGATGCCCACCTCCCATCCAATGAGATGCGTCGAAAAACAACAACAACAACAAAGTTGGACGTGATAGCTCGTGGCTTTGTGTGGGCGGGAAGTCTGGATTTTCTGACTTGAAAAGGGGGGGGGGGGTGATTTCCGCACTTCATTTTCTTTTTCTTTTGGCTCTGAGAAATGGAACTTGAAATGTGAAATTCAGATATCGTGCTGGATCTGACAGGAATGCTTCCGCGTCTGTCGGATGGCCTGCTAGAGGCATCATGAGATACATGGTGGCGAGAGTGCACGGCGAGGTGGCGTAGCGCGTGTAGCCCGAAGCTGCCTGGTCACCGAGCTATAGTCGGACCGCCATATCTGGCTGCTTGTTGACCGCTCTCCGAGTCTCCGTGCGTGGTTGCTTGTGAGTTGCGGCGTGCGTACTGGCGCGAGTTGGGAGTCGCGTTGGGGCAGAGTGTTGTGCGCTATATACGTCTTATGTAATCTGTCGTATACCTGATCGGCGCACATGGACGCGACGGTCTTCTGGTAGGCGTAACTTGTGAAGTTGAATGCCGTTTTAGGCGCAGACCTGTGGGACGCCGTTTTAGGCACTGATTTGCTGTGGGAGTCGGAGGAGCATGAAGAGGATTCAGGTAGTGAAGATCTGTTCGAGGTCTTCTGGTTGGAAACGTTTCTGCCTAGAGATTGAAGATTGAAGGCCTTTTTGAGAGGAACTTTGGCATGCATCGTTTGAGGGCTATACTAGGGTTACGTGTATTTTTCGTGTTTTGGGTTATTTCCGAAATTGCCTGTACTGTTGCGTTGTAGATTAGTTTTAGTGCTATTTCCGAAATTGCCTGTTTCGTGACTTGTTTTTTTCGAAGTTTAGTTTTCGAATTGGAGTGTTGTGTTTAGATTATTTCTATTCTGGGTTATGTGTTTTGTAAGGTAGGAATTCCCTTTCCCTTTTTGCTATTTGTTGTTTTAGCTTATGTGGATTTACTGTGTAGGATTTAACCTTTCGATGTGTGCCGCTGGGTGTCCTTTTTATGGCTCCTGGGTATTTGGGGCATTGGCATGCCTGTTCCTGGGTTAACGTTGTTTGGTTAGATATACCTTGCTCACCTTGCTCGAACAAAATGGATTTGGATTTCGTTTTTATAGGTGAGCAACCCTATTTCACTCTGTTGCTGCTGTTTAGTTCGATGCTTGGTGTGTGTGATGTTGGGGTTGAAATACGAACGCATTGGAATTAAGATAAGTGGGCGACCCTAATTTGTTCTGTCGCCGGCGTTCGTTTGCAATGGGGTAATGACATGGAAATGCTTCGATTCTTTGGACAGGTGTGTTTTGGCTAGTGTTCAATAGGAATTTTTGTTATTTGACTTGGTTAGGTATACCTTGCTTGAACTGAATGGCTTTCGTCACGGTTTTTATAGGTCGGCATTCGTCACGGGTTTTATAGGTGGGCATTCGTCACGGTTTTATAGGTGGGCAACCCTACTTTATTCTGGTGCCGCTGTTTAAGTTCGATGCTTCGTGCGTGTGACGAATTTTCGCTATCTGAGTTGGTAGTCTTTATTTTGAGTATGTAGGGTGATGTATGTGGGTTGGTCGTTGGTAGGACTGGAGACGGTCTTCGTGGTAGGGTTGGTGCTGTGCTAGGGTAGGGATTGTGGTGATCTGTTTTCGTAGCAGGGCTGGTGCGGCGTTAGGGTAAAGAGTGTGGACACTGTGTATGCAGGGATGGGGCTCTGGGCTCCTGGTGGGGCAGGACAACCTGTCGTCCCTGTATTTTACTATCTTGATTATGTAATTGCCTTGGGCACTGGGCCCTGTTTTTTTTTT